GACAGAAGATGAGAGCATAGCCCACACCTCCTGCCTCTCTTCTGTCCCTTCTCCTTTGCAGGATTCACTTCTCCAGGCTGCTCTCCCCTTTTCCCAGCCGTGAGTGCGGGGATGGGGGAAGGCACTGAGTGGTTAGGCACAGCATCCATGGAAAGACCAGCCTGTGGGGCACAAATGAAATCTGAGGGGGGAGTTTCCCACCCCAGCACCCCCCTAGATCTGGCCATGGCATAGTGAAACCAGCGGCCGTGGTTGCACCCTAGGTGACTGCTTAGTTTCCCTAGTGGTAACAACGACCCTGTATACACCAAGTGAATATGTTTCCCACCCTCAGTAGCTTAGAGAGATTACACCTGATGTAGCAGAGGTGGCTAGGCATATGATATTCAAATATAAGTAAGGTTCTCCACTGTTATTACCCACATGTCCACAGTTGGGCAGAATTCCAAAAGCATGCAGCTTTCATGGAAAACCAGTGATTGTGGAAAGCACTTCTCCAATTGCTACCAGAGAACAAAACTTCAAGTTTAGGCGGCCCCACATCTCCAGTTGCCCATCTGTGTTCCAGTCATGAGAACCTTCCAAGTGCTTATCTTTGTGAAAAAGTGTGATCAATGATGCGCTTTGTCTCTGTGCACTTTAAGTAACCACTAGATTGTGGCACATGCATATGCTGTGGCCAGTAGCTCTTATTTGTGCTGTGTGGTTTGTGCTGTGTTTGATCATGAGCTGCCTGATTCAAGGAGGCCCTTGGTGGTGTTGCACCACTCAACAATCCTGAAGCTGGGGAGAGGATGTACAGGGCTCAACCTGGCTGCAAGCATGCTGGAGCCTGATCCCAATCTGTGTTTTCTTTTCTTTGGCTGTTTGTTGTTCCCCCTCCTGGGTCCCCTGGTCCTCCATTTTTGGGTAAATGGAATGTAACATCACCAAAACCAATCACCCTAGGAAGAAGGAGGGAAAAGAGCCAGGATTATAATGAGGATGAGGCAACTGGATCCTAAGCTAACTCTCTTTTCTAGTCTACTGCTGATTAATGGTCAGTCAATAGCGTGGAAAATGGATGAAGTAAGGCTGTGCCTGAAACAGCATAGTAATCTGAGAAACTGCTGTGTATGCATTTTTACAGAAAGTTTGCTCCATTGTAATGTGTCTGATGAGGTCATTAGGCTTCAGGACTGGACTTTATATCACACAGACAGAATGCAGAGTTCAGGCAAACTAAAGGGTGAAGGTCTCTGGATTTTTATAAATGATGCCTGGTGGAAAAGTATTGTATTGGTGGTGAGTTGGATGTGGAGGTCTTAATGATAAAACATTGGCATTTTTACTTACCAAGAGAGTTTCATGAATATTTTTATTTTGCAGTATGCATTCCAACAGATGCTAATTATGAAAATGTGTTATTGATTGTGTATGAAATGTTTAGTGCGCAAAATGGTGAGACATCCCAATGGACTGCATTATTTTAATGCTGCAGACTTACAGTAAGATCTACTTATCCAAATTTTACCAACATGTGCATATCCCTTTTAGGGGGTTAAACACCCTGGATCATGTATATACAAATGTTTCTGGGGGTTTTAAAGCTGTCCCGTATCCACATTCTATAACATCAGACCATATTTCAATTGTTCTCCTATCAATGTATGCACAGGCTATCAAAAAGACAAAGCCATCAATAAAAACATTGACATTTTTGTCAGATAGAGCTATAAATTCTTTGTGGGATTGTTTTGAAAGCACTGACTGTAATTTGTACAGGGAAGCTGGAACCATGGGGAATCTTAATGAGTATACAATTGTGAATCGCTGCATTTACTATAAACTGTATACTAATAAATGTAAGTTCCCAATCAAAAATCTTGGAAACATTGTAAGGTGCAGCTCTTGCTTAAAACAAAATAATAAATATACATTTGTTGCAGGTTTAAAAAAAAAAGTGCATTTATTTATTTAAAGGACCCTGCAGAGCATTACAACCAAGATCAGTAGCTGTCAATGGGAGAGGGGAATGTGTTTTGTGTTTCTTTTTGGCTAATAGGAAAGTATGACAGTCCTGTTCATGTAGCATGACTTTGATACAACTTTACACTCTCTCGCACTCAAGTAGATTCAAAGTCACATCAAAGTAGTATACAATATTTGTGCAGCGCCAAAATATTAAATATAATCCTGATGCGTGTAAATTAAACATCACAAAAATATACATTTCCAGCTTGTGATAAATAGAATATAATCCTGATGTATACAGATCATATGTCACATGAATGTATTTAAAGTCTGTGATCAATGTATGGATGAATAAAATTAAGACCCAAGGTGACACAGTTATTATTGGTAGTATATCAATCAGCAGCGTAATAATAAACTATATGTGAACCCCAATACGTGATATTCAGTGAATGGGTAAACAATATCTCCTTATAAATCAATTAAATCAAAATATGACATATACCCCAAAATATACCTCTACACCACCTCTACTAAGTGAGTACATAAACAAAATATTCCACACATACATACACAATAATTATACACATATATTGAATGCCGTGATGCCGAATTAACTCCTGAATGGCAACACCAGTGAATAAATATAGTGACATAAACGCATGTAAACTTTACATGCCCTGGATAAGCAGGTTGAAAGAAATAATAGAGATCCCACTAGGGGATAAAAATCAAAGTGAATCAGTGAAACCACTACTTGTGGTAAACATGAAAAAAAAAAAGGAAAAGAGGAATCAAAAAGTCAAACGCATGAATATGCAAAAAATGATTTGTGAATCTAAACAATGCCAGTGATCCCATTATGGGATAAATACAGTGGATCCGTGAAACCACAAATGGTGGTAATTGTGAAAGAAAGAGAAAATCAGGCTCACCGCCTGTAAATCATTAACAATCACTTAAATAAACGATAGTGACCCCCTACCGGGATAAGTGAACACCAAAAAAATAGGCTAAATGCCTATAGATACTGATGATTCGTAACCTCAAATGCGAGTTCTGAATAACCATGAAAATAAGTGACTTCAAACAGTGCTTCACAATTTCCGTATATCCACAAACATAAATCAACAGTGGATAATCCACCCACCTACATAAACAAAACCAAAAACTACAAAAAATTATCGTATCCTAAAAAGTGAAAAAAATAAAAATAAATAAATGTCCAATCTAAAAAAGTGTCCAGAACCATCCAAATGGTGGAGGTGTACTGTAGTCCTGTGATCACCAAACTGTGCAACAGGATACTATGAATCTCACTCTAGGTGCAATGGTCCCTCACCTCCCTGCAGTGACCCTGCAGGGTCAAAACACCTTAGACAATCAAATACCACCGGTCTGGAACCCGGACTCCCTCCAACAGATGTCAGGTCCACCGCCATGTCAGTTACCTCTCTGATGGCCAAGGTCCTGCATACAGCCTCCTCTCAGTGGTCCTCGAAGTGATAGCTCCTCATTCGCCCAGAAAGAGAATGCAAAGTGCTCCCATAGTGTATTAACATTTAATGACTCAAAATGAATATAAAATGAATAAAAACGTATCAAATTCCACTCACAATTTAACTTGAAATTATAAGTTTTTAGTACCTATCCACATGCTGTGGGTGTACTAATACATTGACCTCAATAGGAGTTCCAAGATGGCGTCCTCCCCGGAAGTTGAGCCAACACGCCGAAAGTTGTGTCACCACGAGCCCACGCATTATATCAAGATGTCACGTGACTTCATGAAGGTACAGTTAGGGTAGAACAGGTTTACCTCAAATTAATTTTACGTATATGCATATATATATATATATATATATATATATATATTTTTTTTTTTTTTTTTTTTTAGTAATTTTATTCCATCTTTTAATATTTTTTTATTTTTATTCTATTATTTATTTTTTTCAAAATACACTATCATATATACCTATATTTATTTTTATTTTTTTCATATATAAAGTATTCTATTTATATAATATAAAAATATAGTTTAGTAATTAATATTAGTGATTTTATAGACATTATGCCATTTAATTTTAACCATGTGGTAGTTCCTAAGAAATATGGGAGGTACCAAAGTTTTTTTACTTTTATCTTATTATTAATAAATGTGTTTTAATTCTTTTTATTTCTAATTATCTTTGGTGATCTTTCCTCATATCACATTCACTTATTTTTTTGGTCTCCACTTATATGGCAGCCCTTCGGTTTTATTAATATGGAGTTAGGGTTTCTCATATTTAATATTCTGTTGTTCTTACCTAATTAACACACAATATTATCACTATAGAAGTTATATTTATTTCTAGTGGATCATTAGATCAGTAATTTTATAGTGCATATCAGAATATATATATTACATCTCCCAGACCACACAAACATGGCCGGGAGATATAGATATGCAAATGAGAAAGCCAAGAAGAAGAGACAAAAAGCTCCCCTTGGTGACCATCCCTGTATTTGAAAGAGGCTGCACTCACGTCCTTAAAGGAGACCTCTGGTTTTAACGCCACCTTACAACCCTGATGATATTCATCTATCCTGGGCTGATTCCTGTACCACCTTAAAGAGGGATTCCTGGAAGACCTCCATTGATTAATATACTGTGCAATACCTTTTGCGCATCTGGTGAGTGCGCATTTTATCTATTTATCGCCACTCACAGAACCCTGCTGATTGATATACTGAATAACTGTGTCACCTTGGGTCTTAATTTTATTCATCCATACATTGATCACAGACTTTAAATACATTCATGTGATATATGATCTATATACATCAGGATTATATTCTATTTATCACAAGCTGGAAATGTACATTTTTGTGATGTTAATTTACACGCATCAGGATTATATTTATTATTTTAGCACTGCACAAATATTGTATATGTCTTTCTGAAGGTTTTATGGTTTCCTTTTAGTTCATAGCTGCTCTTTTATTTAAGCGCTTGCTGATTCTTTATACATCAAAGTAGTGCATGAACCTTTATGTGTCCAAAGTGGCATGTTAGGTTTAAGGGCTAGTGGTTAAGGTTAAGGGTAGGATTGAATGTTAGGGTTAGAGTCAGGGGCGGACTGAAAACTCATGGGGCCCCCGGGCCATAGGGGATCATGGGGCCCCTGTGTCCTTGCTCAAACTCAAAAAAGCCTATGAAAAAGGTACCAGGGGCATCTCATGGGGCCCCCTACTGACCACAGGCCCTCGGGCAGTGCCCGAGTTTCCAAATGGTCAGCCCGCCCCTGGTTAGAGTTAAAGACTAGAGTAAATATTTGGGTTAGGCTTAAATGTTAGGGTTAGTGTTAAGGGCTAGGGTTAAATGGTAGGGTTTGGGTTAAGGGCTAGAGTTAGGGTAAATGACTAGGATAGGGTTAAATGTAAGGGATAAGGGCTAGGATGATAGCTAAATGTTAAGGTTAAAGGTTAGAGTTAAATGTTAGGATTAGGGGCTAGGGTTTGAGTTAAATGTTAGGGTTAAGGGCTACGGTTATATTTAAATGTTAGGGTTAAGGGCTTGGGTTAGGGTTATACAGTATGTCAGGGTTAGAGTAAGAGTTAGGGTTAGCAGTAAACATTAGGCTTAGGAGCAATTGGGTAAGGGTTAGTGGTAATTTTTAGAATTAGCATTCTAACCCTAACAATCACCAATAACCCTAACTCTAACACTAACCCTAACCATAGCCCTTAACCCTAACCTTAACCCTAACATCTAACCCTAGGCCTTAACCTTAACCCTAGCTCTTAACCCTAACTCTAACTTTGACCCTATCAGTTAACCCTAACCCTAGCCCTTAACTCTATTCAGAGCCCTTAAACCTAACTCTAACATGTAACCCTAGCACTTAATCCTAACATATAACCCTAGCCCTTAACCCTAACCTTAACATTTAATCCTAAACGTAGCCCTTAACCCTAACCTTCTTATTTACCCTAACTCTAATATTTAACCTAAGCGTAGCCCTTAACCCTATCCTGAGCCCTTAAACCTAACTCTAATATGTAACCCTAACCCTAGCCCTTAGCACTAACCCCTAACCCTAACATTTAATGCTAGCCCTTAACCCTAACCTTAACATTTATTCCTAACCCTAGAGCTTAAACCTAACCTTAATATTTAACCTTAACCCTAACATTTAACCCTAGCCCTTAATTCTAACCCTAACCCTTAATCCTAACCCCTAACATGCAGCTTTGGATGCAAAAAGGTTCCTACACTACACTGATGTGACTTTGATGCCACTTTGATGCTACTTTGATACTACTTGAGTGCCAGAGAGTGAAAAGTTGCATCAAAGTTGCATCAAAGTCACATCAAAGTTATACTACATGAACAGAACTGTCATACTTTCTATTAGCAAAAAAGCCCAGCAAAATGCAAAACACATAAAAAATGCAACACGTGTATTTTGGGAGCAGGTCCATTGAAGTCTATTAAATGCAAAACACAATCTGTTGTGGGAAAAAAAGTCCTTGACCCTTTCTGGAAAAAACGCACCTGCTCAAAACAAACAGGTGTGAACTAAATCCATAATCCGTAAGAAACTATGTTAAATGGACTGTAGTGTGTTTCTTCAACACACTTTAAAAAAGTAAAAGGCGTGAACCAGGCTTAAGTAAATCTCCCCCTATATTCCACATGGAACAAATGCTCATTCGGATGAGAGCAATTGTGGTCATTGCGGGTTAGCTTTTGGCACTTTACAGACTTTATCTCTTATTTTTAGCTTTTGGATGCTATTGACATTGCTGGGGGTGAATTAGATCCTGTTCAGTCTGAGGGGGTTTGTAGTACCCTGGTCAACTTTTACCTCTCTCTTCTCCTGGTGACCTTCACCCCCCCCCACACATTTTTGTATTATTTACTGCCACTCATCCCCCTTCTCCACCTCTTATATATTGACTTTCTTTGATATATGTATATCCTTTGCAAAATGTTTCAGTTGTGAAAGAGCTATGATTACAATCATCCCTTTTTGTTCAACTGTATTGTTACTGGACATTATGGCATTGTATATGCTTAAAGGGTGCTATGTAAGCTTTTTTTCTGAAGGAACAGAAGTGATTTATTTACATCTCATTCCCTGTATTGTGACACTGCAATGGTGATTATACTTTTGAATTCCACCATTACTGTTGTGATTGCATGGAAACTCAGATGTACAGCTTCCTCAGTTGTAAAACACCTGCTGGAATATTTTATTATATTTTCTTATTGCTTTTTTCTTCTTGAGAAAAACAAATAAACAGATTATTATTATTATTTATAATAATAATAATAATATAATAACCACACCCTTTTTGTATAACATAGACACAGGTATAAAGCTTAGGCAAAAAGTGTGTAAATCTTATAGCCAAGCACTTTAAAGTGAAAATATAATTTATTAGCAGATATCATGTAAAGGCTAGATCCTGCTTTTCGCTCTTAAAATTATAAACGTTTTCTTGTTGCTATAACATCTTCAGACCTCTAGTCATAAATAAGATCAACATACATTTCTGCATAATACACCATAGGTTGATTTATTAAAGGCAAATAGGCTATATACTTAGTAAAGTGAATTTTCACGCTGCAAGGTAATTTTTCCTTAACCTATTGTAAAAGTTTAAGCTATGCTGGCTGATAGCATCCAATCATTTGCAAGCAAAAACATTCCTCTTTTTTACTTTTCTTGCTTGGGTATTCTGTGCAAGGTTACTATTCACCACATTCACCAAACTAAGTGAAAAATAAACATGCTTTACTCCTTTAGTAAATCAGCCCTTACATATCAGTCCACAAATTAGCAGAACAAAATTGCACAAAATTGCATTCATGGTCTGCTGATTTGTAAACCAATGCTAACCTATAAGCATTATATAATGTATGGAGGCCCTACTAACCAATTACATTCTTACTCATCCTAATCTTTTAGAGTTGCAAGGTGTACAAGCATATTAAGGGGGAGAGGAGTTTTAATGGCACTGCCTGGAGGGGTTTTAATGGTACCTTTCAAAATATACTATAACTTACATATTTAGAATAAATAGATAGAATATGTGTATCTGTATTCTTTCAATCAGCGCAATCTCAATCCCCACCTAAATCCAAAATACTATTAAATACCTCGTTGTTGCTTGCTGAACACAAAAACAATGGATTCCACCTCACTATCTAAATATATTCACAAATTACTAGTGCAGCACAACTCTCTAAATTAATAATTGTTATAAAACATAAATACTCCTGTGAAAAACAAATACAAGTGATAAACTAAAAAGTCCATAAACAATCCCCTTGGTGACGTGTATCACTTCCATGACGATCCTCTTTAGTAATATTCAGTGATCCACCACCACATCAGGTGAAAAACTTGCTCACCTCAAGAAAAGAAAATATGCACTCATCTGGGTGTACTCAACTCCTCAGGCGCAGTGACAAATTTCTTTTCTCCTCTCACCTTCCACTCACTCTGGCATCAGGCCAAAATTGATCTCATGCAACAGAAAGGCTGAAACATAGTTCTCTCTGTATAACACTTTATTGTATCCTCCACTAAAATGACACTTACAGATATAAAAGCACAAAAAGCATAAAATTTGTATACACATCTAGCTCACCACTCCGACTGTGGTGGCATGGTAACACAGTACCGTCTCCTCCTTTCTAGATGCGTTGCGCCCCATCTCAGGGCTTCCTCAGTAGGTGGGGAGCCATTCTAACACAGCCTTTTTATAGCCCCAAACACACCACCGGAAGTACACCGGTGGCCATCTTAAGTGAGGGTAATAGGAGATTTCCACTGAACACAGACACCAGAAGTGCGCCATCATCCCTGGGCAGAAGTGCCAATACTGGGCTCTTCTCTGCTCATGGACTGCACACACACCACCGGAAGTACACCGGTGGACATCTTAAGTGAGGGTGACAGGAGATTTCCACCAAACCATGGCATAAAACACTCTCTCCCATTCTCCACACAAAAGACCAGATGCCTACATTAACCCCATACCTACCCAGGCTACCTCCCCAAAACCCTGATACATAAAAACATAAATGATGAATATTATGCATATACCCAGGCTGTATCATTACAATATCTGACTTAAATAAATCAAAATGCACATGCCTACAAGAATATATACCGACTAAAACACTCAACTATTACTAATAAAACAATATAAGTCAAAATTATTAAGACACCCTAGGGGGCAGGCTCCCCATGGGACATCATTGATGTCTCATGGGGTGGGGTCACATGTGTGATGTCCCCGGGTGGCCCTGCCCCTTACCTATTTAAGCACTGTCAAACCAACGGAGCAGGCGGGCATCATGGTTGACGTTGGATCTACTGTGGGGGACATTATTTTAGTTTTTTCTTTTAATAAAGGACTTGTCAAAGACCGTGTCCTGTCTTTTTTCACACTACAATTTTTGTTTTTTGTGAATGAGGACCATGTACCCCATACTCATTCACATGGGGGTCTGGGATCTGGGGTCCCCCTTGTTAAAGGGGGCTTCCATACTCTGATAAGCCCCTTGCCTGCAGACACCCACAAACACCGGCCAGGGTTGTGGGGGAAGAGGCCCTTTTCCCCATCAACATGGGGAAAAGGTGCTTTGGGGGGAGCCCCCCTGCCCAAAAGCATCCCCCATGTTGAGGGCATGTGGCCTGGTATGGTTCAGGAGGGGGGCATTTGCTCGTCCTCCACCTTTCCTAACCTGCCAGGCTGCATGCTCGGATAAAGGTCTGGTATCGATTTTGGGGGGGGCCCCCCACGCAATTCTTTTTTTAATTTTGGCATGGGAGTTCCCCTCAAAATCCATACCATTTGTAAACTGAAAATCACGGTAACCGTGGAATTCGTAAACCGATGTACCACTGTATTACTAAATAAGATAGTCAAAGAAGTGATACACATCACTAAGGGGATAGTTTATGGACTTTTTAGTTTATCACTTGTATATGTTTTTCACAGGAGTATTTATGTTTTCTAACAATTATTAATTTAGAGAGTTGCGCTGCAC